TTTGTCAAGTCCAGCCTTTCCTTCGTCCCAACTACAGATTCTTCTACTGGGGGCAACAATGTATCCAGGTATAACATTTCCCAGTCCCTCTTGCAAATCAAGATGACAATGAGACATAAACAGAAGTCACTGGATGGGGTTACAGGGAAATTGCTTTAAAGGGACATAACTTAGCTGGAACATAGGTGCCCTTTTATGGTCCCTGTTTTCTGAAGCCTAAAACCTACGTGTTATGGGTGGAGCTCTAGTAGCTATCCTGTGTTCATAAAGAGATCTTGACAATCCTAAGGATAGTGGAGCAAAACGCCTACAAAGAGCCCTGGTCCCTCAGCCCCGACTGCCCACCTTCAGACTTCTTTTTTTTTTTTTTTAAGATTTTTATTGGGGAATTGGGGGGATGGGAACAGCGCTGGGGAATTGGGGGAAGGGGAACAGACAAATTGCTGTCATTTTGTTCTTCAGTCTAGTTGTGGAGGACGTTGCTTCACTGGCCCAAGTTGGCACCATCATTGCGCTCTTCCCAGGTGAGGCAGATCAGTCGCCGGCTTCTGGACGGCCGCTCACTGCGGCTACTGGCCGCTCACGCTGGCTGCTGGCCGCTCACGCTGGCTGCTGGCTACAACACGGCAGCCCATGGCAACCCACTGCAGCAGGGGCTGCAGCCTACGCTGTTGCCGGCGACTCACAGCAGCCCAGCTCCAGGTTGAGCTGTTGTTCAGCATCTTAGGTGTAGAGGGCAGTGTCACTGGCCCTCATATGTGGGATCCGAACCGGGGCCCTCTGGCGTCCCAGGCCAGTTCTTAACCATCGTGCCACTCGGCCAGCCCCATATTTTTGTTTCTTATATTGAGTAATTTTAAAGACAAAGAGCAGAAAGGTTTTCACCTATCAACTGAAAAACTGGAACTTTAATCTTTCTAATCTTACTTCCTGCCTCATCCCTTTACATACCATGAACTATAGTCAGTATTTCTCTTCAAAGTCTATAATTTCCTACTTCCTGCTTTTGCTCATTATTTCCATTCTGAGGAAAGCTCTCTCCCTGTGTCTATTTCTAAGTTCAAGTTATACCTGTTCTTTAAGGTTCAACTCACAGGCCACTGCCCTCTACGGTTTTTCCTGACCCACCCAACAGGAAGTGATCTCACCTCACCTATACCATTTCCTTCCGGACATTTCTTTTCCTGGACTCCTTGAGGTTTGGGGCTATGCCGTCATCAGTTCTCTACATTCCCTTGTAGCACCTGGCTTTCGAATCTGTACACAGCTGTCACCCATTAAATATGTTACTGCATATCAAGAAATTAATTTTTTACAAATATTACTTGGCAAAAATTCACTGCTTATTATGCCTATGCCCCGCAATTTCACAAAGGAAATTCTGAGTTTAAGGATCATCATAAATTGACCCCCAAACCAACATTGGTACCAAATTCCATCAGGGCCTCCGAGCATAGTGACTTGCAGACTGCTGGCTGGACAAATCTGGAGCCATTAGGGTGTTTTTCATCAGTCAAGCCTGCGTGTTAAAACACCCCATGGTATTCCACACAGAAAAGCTTTTTGATCATATGTAGTAAACTTTGTTTAGGTGAAATGAACTCATTTAAAACTGTTTCTTAGCTACCTTGAAGTAGTAACTCAGACTTCACAAGAATAATTTATATTTTTAAAATGTTATGCATGCAGATAAGATTTTTGGTTATCAAAACCCCTGAAGAATTCAAAATATGATCACTACTTCGTTATCTTCTGATACCTCGGGATAGAATATTTCCTTCTCTTGATAAAGGGAGAAATAAAGTGATTTGCATAGCATCGTGATGAGGAATTTAATGAGAAACAGATCCCTGGCTTCTCGAGTTCAGCGTTCTGATCAAGGTTGGCCAGGTGAGCCACATAGAAAAAGAATGGCGTGTTGGACCAAATGAAATTCTAAAACTTTTATATAATTTAGGGACATGATTTTAAATTACAAGAAAGAGGCTGGGAGACGATATTAGCAACAAACATGAGTGCTCACGGTCCCTAGTATAGCAGGTCCTCGAGGCATGCCATTTTGTTCAACTTCGTGTCCTCGTTGTAAGGTCCGTGAGATGCTGTAGGAACTTGACTCTTGTTTATATCTACTAGCCTGTGGTAAAACTGGTTTTACTATGCATCCTTTAACTTAAAGTTGCAGAACCTATCAACTAGGTTAAGTGAGGTCAAATCATAAGAAAAAGGACAAACAGCTTAATGGAAAAATGGGCGAAGGATTGACTAGGCAAGTCACAGAAGAAGAAAATGTGAAAAAAAGGTTAAGCTTACTGGACATTAGAGAACTACAAATTAAAACAAAAGAATCCCCCCTGCCTCCTCACTTTTTTTGTTTTTGTTTTTTCTGAGAGGCAATATAGCATAAAGGTTAAGAATATAAACTCCAGAGCCAGACTTTTTGGGTTTGAACCACAGTTCGCCATTTTCTAAGCTGTGTGACCTTCTGTTTCAGTTTTCTCCTCTTCAAAATGAGGTCATAAGAGCAAATGCCCTACAGGGCTGTTGAGATGATTAAATGAGTTAGTTTATGTAAAATGCTTGGAACAAAGTCTGGCACATAGTATATACTGTATGTGCGTTTATTATTATTATTATTCATCCATCATATTGATAAAATGTAAAATGGTTGTTTGAAAAATAAAGGTAATCTTAATTTGTTGGTAGAAATGGAAATTAATAGTTTTTTTGAAAGATATTTTGATAAGAGCATACTTTATACCTAGTATGTATAAAGTTCTACTTCAGAAATGTGATCCAATCACATAGGGACAAAAAGGAACATGTTCAAAAAGTTTCATTATATCTTTATTTTGGGCCAAAAAAGGGGAAACAATTTAAATGTCAATCAACAGAGAAGTAAAGTTGGTATGTTACAAAAAGCTATGGCATACTAAGAAGGCAGCTGTTAAACAGTGATATAGTTTACATATATTGACATATAAAGTTGTCCAAAATATTTATATACCTACTAAAAAGTATGTATAATGCGATCCCACTTATATGAAAACAAGCAAAACATACACAGGTGTGCATTTATGTATGGATTTTTAAAGTGGTCTGAAAATATACAAATTGTTAATGAGGCTATTTACGTGGGAAGATGGGAAAGGTGAAGAGGGGCTTTCGTTTTTTACGCTGTACGTGTGTACTGAAACTTATGTCCTTGGAAAGGCTAAAAATGTGCTAACTATATAATAGCGATGTCTGAGACTAAGAACATATAACCTCCTGGTAATTGAATCCGAGAATTCCTTTCCGCTACCTGAAGCGAAATGGAATAGGAGAGAGAGCACTTTGAAAGTAAGGGAGTGACATTTAGTGCAAGTTTAAACACTCAAGTACAGCTGTGAAAACTGTCTCCTTGTCTCCCGCGTTCACACGTGAAGCTGCAGATCAGAACAGCCTGGCTACTGAATGGGGAGTACACAACATCTTTGCCCTTAAACACCAATATTCTGAAAACAGTGTGTCATTCCATTTTATTGAAACTTATTTAGAAAATGCTTTGAATTCTTAACAATGATGAAAAGTTGCAGAATAACAGGAATCTAAGGGAAAGATATAAGAAGAAACAAAGATCAGGTGTTTTTTTTTATGATGACCTTAAAACAAAGAGGTATAAAAGAGATAATGAACAATACAATTACACTACAAATTGGATAAATTTGCAAATTTCAAAGAGAACCTCTAATGTGTTTTAGGGAGGAGAAGAGCTGATAAGGCAGTAGTTTCTTATCAGCTGGGTATGGAGGATAAGGTACTTCATCTACAAAATAAGGAAGCTAATTGTTCCTGGCAAATCTATAATCTGCCATTACAGAGATTATAATCTGTATTTCTGCGTTTAGCATTTAGGCAACTGTAAGTAATGGACTTGCTGAAAGAATAAAAACCTCCAAGTATAAATGAGAGAGGCAAACATGAGTTCAAATCCAAGCTCTACTCCTTACTAGCTACGTGACCTTGGCAAGTTTCTCCATCCCTTTTGCCTTAGTTCCTCATCTGTAAAAGGAGGATAGCACTAGTAGTATCTGGGGCTGTATTACAGGAGAAACTCCACTAAAAATGCTTGGCACAGTACGTCAACTGTAAATGAAAAAGAAAAAAATTATTAAAAAATAAAAATGCTTGGCACATAGTAAAGACTCAATAAATACTGGTGATGGTGGTGATGTGTCAAGATACAAAAAGTACTATTCATTTCCTAAATTGTATTTATTAATTATGGGAACATGAAGTATTAAAAAAAAATGTGTCTGTCCTAGCACACCTTCAATGATTTTAGAAGGTTGTTATCTTAGCAAGCTATGCATTTGAGGTTTACTCAAGGCGGAGTCCCAAGTATTGAACTTCCTTTTCTTACAAGTCTTCTAGATGTCATTGCAAACCAGTGACTGATTCCATGAGCTATACACAAAGAACAATGTGGCAGCAAAGAACATGGACTCTGGAGCCAAATCACCTGAGTTCAAATACCACTTTGGGCTATTTACTAAGCTGTATTACTTAACCTCTCTTTGCCTCAGTTTCTTCATTTACAAAATGGTGATAACAATTATATTTATCTTATAGGGTTACTGTGAAGATTAAACAAGATAATGTGTATGAAGCATCTAGTACAGTGCTCAGAAAATGTTAGCTATCATCATCATGCCCTATAGTCATCCTACAAAAGAAAGACGCACCCCTGACCACCAGAACTTGGTTCCACAGAAACAGCACAACTGATTCTTAAATTAGTTCTTAGGTATCCACACGCTGTCCAATATTATACAATTCTTAAACTGGCTGAGTATTTGAGCCAACATTTTTGTACCTTGCCTGAATACGAGCAAGACAAAAAAGTCAATTTTGTATGGATCACTCCAACTGTCATTGAGGCAAAGTTGGAGAAGACCAAAATGCTTTATCGAAACCCCCTGTAAAACTGCTTTCTCTGTTGTAAGCATTTAACGTCCTACCTGTCATCTGTATTGCGAAGGGATGGAAGCCGAAAGCTCGTGTTTCTGTCAAGTTTTGATTGGCTTTTGGTCCTCTTGATGGAGCCTTTCAGGCGCTTGCTGAAGAACCCCTAGAATAGAAAGGCAGAAGGTGGGAGAGAGAACCAAAAGGGAACCTTGCTATCTCCTTACTCTTCTGCACTAACTTCGCCAACGGTATTCGGATTTTTACAACACGAACCAGAAGCAGGCTCCAGCTTCTAATTTTCTAATTTGTAAATAACAGTTTCTTGAAACCACCTGGTAATGTGATGAAAAAAAATTTTTTTTCTTCTTTGATAATTGGGATAATTACACTTTTCTTTTCTTTTTAAGATTTTATTGGGGAATTGGGGGAGGGGACCAGCCAAGTTGTTGTTCTTCAATCTTCGTTGTGGAGGGCGCCAGTTGCCATCTGGCTTCCCGACAGCAGCTCGTGGCCTCTAAGCTCAAGGTGCTGAGTTCAGTCTTAGTTGTGGGTGGACGTAGCCACCATCCCATGTGGGAGTCGAACCAGCAGCCTTGTTGTTAAGAGCGCACGCTCTATCCACTGAGCTATCTGGGTGGCAGCTCAGCTCAAGGGGCCAAGTTCAGTCTTAGTTGCGGGTGGGCATAGCCCACCATCAAACAGGCAATCTTTTTGTTACACCATCCTGCCACCTGTTGGCAGCTCAGTGACAGCTCAGCTCGGGCACAGCATCACTGGCCCATGTGGGAATTGAACCGGCGGCCCTGTTGCTCAGAGCTCACACTCTTAAGCCAACTCTTAACCAACTGAGCCACTTGGCCGGCCCAATTAAACTTTCTGATAGCACTTGATTTCTTGTGTTAAATAGTTTCCATAGTAGGCAAGGTAGAAATACTTCTAACTGTAATAATAGATTTTAAAAGCAATATAATATAGAAAAATATACTCCTTTCTGTGAAGGTGGTGTTAGCAATTTCAACAGAAATAGCATCCAGTGATTTCCTGAACTAAATTAGGGGAAAGAGAACACCATGTGCAAAGGCCCTGAGGTGAGAGGTACTGGCGCATTGGAGGAATCAACAAAAGAACTGAATAATCAGTACAAAGTAACGTGCTGGTAGTCTCAAAAGTGTTAAAATTTGATGCGTATCAACTTGGAGATGATATTTGTAAAGTTGAGTTTAAACGTAAGCTATTTTAAAATGACACAGGTATCATTTAGGAAACCAGTGACGCTTCAGAAGAACAAAGTCCTTTACAGTTTTGGGCCCCTGCTTGGCTCCTGCCACTTGCAACCAAACCATCTCGAGTTCCTTGAACATCTTCCTCATCTTAGCACCTGGCAAAGAATGTGCTTTCAATACAAGTTTGTTGAATAAAAGAATAAATGCAAGAATGAATGGCAATGATCTCTGCTTTCAAGAAACAGTTTTCTATTGTTGCCAGCAGGAAAGACATCCTATGGAAGTCTATTGAAATGCCTTAGAAAATGTTGTAATTCAAAAAGTATTGGGTTGTCGGAAAAGTCATGACGAATTTTTCTCTGTTTTCCGTTGCAAAAATGCATCATGACTTTTCTGACAACCCAATATTTTGATGCATGGAAAATGGCTCGAATCACCTTGCGATAATTATTAGCTTATAGAAGCTATATTTCTATAAGGAAAAAAATGAAATACTGTTCAATATCAGCACGTCAAATCTTTTATGTTCTTTTAGTGAGCATCAAAGCCCACTGTTTTGGGGTGATGACTATACTAATCAGGATAAACTAGATTACGCTTGTCTAATAACCCCACAATCTCAGTGGCATAAAGCATGCTTTATGTCTATAAGGAGGTCAACTAAGCGAGATGGGCCTGGCTTTACACTGTCCTCAGTCATGGACTTCTACCAAGACAGGCTCTGTCTGTCTGCCTCTGCGGTTGCTGCAGCAGGATAAAGGGAATGTGACAAATTGTGTACTAGTTCATAAAGCTTCAGGTCACATCTGTTCGCATTTCATTGGACAAAAAAGGTCACATGACCACATTGAATTTTGAAAGGTAAAAGATATACACTACTATCATGTATCCAGAAGAGAAGTGGAAATATTTGGTGAACAGTAGAGGGGACTACTACAGTAATTTTCTTTGCCGAGTGTTTTGTAAACACACAAGCATTGATCCTTTCACTAGAAAAACATGGAAACAAACTTATTTAAATTAGAAGTAGAACTATATTGCTGACTAAAGAAAAATGCTTATGTTATTTCTTGTTGTTCTTGTAGCCCAAAGAATAAGGGTAAAAACTCCTAGAAAATATCACACAGATATAATTCCCTAGGCTGTTTTTTATTTTTGTTTTTAATAGGTGTATAAAGATTGATTGGAGGGAAGAAAACAGGGCTATTTTTTAAACTACTGTATTTCTTAGAAACAGGCACTTGTCTGGTCTCCTGTACAATCTTAGCGCCATTAAGGAAAGTCACTGCTGTTTGTTCTCCAAGGCAAAGACTTTATTTACTACTTTCTATGATTCAATCAAGAGGAGTCACATTTGCTCAGAAATGTAGTCAGCAAACCAGACCTAACTTTATAGAATTCTATTAGGATCATTTACGGTTAGGTAAAAAACCACTGGCCTAAGTTGAGATCCAGCTCAAGGACTTGGCCAAATACCATATACAAATACATTTCTAATAAAAATACAGTTAAGCAGTTGACTGAGAATGCACTAGGAGATGCTCACTCATATAGGACTTTAACCTTGCTTTTTGTGGCATTTAATCCATTGATTTAATCAATAAGTATTTTATGGCTATTTGTTGTAAAGCACTGTACCAGGTATTGAAAGGGAATCAAAGATAAAACGAACACAAACTCCACCTTCAAGGAACTTGTAGTTTAATATAGGACTTACGACTCACGTAAACATATGACACAATTAGGAAGGTACATGTTCTTAATGCCTGGCATATTTAATCACAAAATAAAAGCTAACCATCCTATGTCTTTGAATCTGGCACACTACTGATTGTAAGTCACACCATTATTTTACGTCTGCTAAGTAAAAGGCTGCCAATTAAACTATCACAATGCTTTATCACTTAGATGTTTTATTTTGTATTAAAGGAGAAGTTTTTAAAACACTTCTTCACGCAGGTTTTGTCAGATATCACATGTGTATACATAAAAAGGATGTTTGTAAAATAAATTGGTTAAGGTATTCCTAATGCTTCTTCGTTCTACTGAACTACTTTTTGTCTCAGAGGAGTTGTTGTTCATGGTTTTCACATAATATCATCCTGTATTCTTTTAAGAATGTTGATAACAAAATATATCTGAAAAGAGTACTCTACAGAGATGTTAAAAAAGTGAAAAATGTGCATCTTAGAATTGATGAAACATGGTATTATTTTAGAACGGTGCATAGGAAATGATTTCAGGGATTCAGAGAAAGAAGAAATTAGTTACATCGTCTGGAGAAATAAGGGAAAGCCGTATGGAAGAAGCGGAATATAATAGCTCCAAAAGGAAGGACAGGACTTGGGTTTGGGGGTGGCGTGGACCAAGGGTGTTATACAAAGCACAGCATGAGAAATGGCATGGAGGAAAGAATACACAGGGTATTCATTAAGTAGATTTAGTCTCGCTGGTATATGATTAGGTGTAGCAAAAAATAAGATTGGAAAGGTGGTTTTACCAACTATTAATGTATAATTATCGCTCCCATTGGTCCTTAAACTTTCAAGGGAAGGTATAATGCTGTATCTGTCTCAATATCTACCAGAGTGTCTAAACCTTAGTTAGCGCTCAATAAATGTCTTATAACTCTATACATGAAATGATGGTTGTTTTTGGAATACAGATAAAGGAAAGTTTAAGACTGCCAGAGTGGTCAGTGATATTTCATGGAGGTAGAAGAATACAAAATTCTGTTTTGGTCTTTTTGATATGACTGAAACATGGTTTTCATTTGAGAATGCTGTTTAGCGTAGAGCCCTGTTTGACAGAGGGTTTTCATTCTCCCCTGCCCAGTATTAGGTGGTACCCAGGAAGAGGCTCTGGGGTTTTCCAAGCTTACCATGATAGCATTCAAACTATTATTCCATAAAATAATGGTTTGGAGCAAAGCATAGTCTTTGAGGTTCACACCGTCTTGATTAAGCATCCTTTATCATTCTTTGCTGTTACCATGCAGTGATCTCTTTCACTTTCCGTTATTCATAAAGGATTTTAGCCCCTAGCTTGCAATATTTCTCTCTCTTCACTCTTAACACCGTACTTATAAATAACCAGGTAGTGAACCAGCTAATATCCCAGCTTCGTAATTCCTTGACTCCAATAATCCTTATCCTCCTCTCCAGCCATCCACTCCTAGCCACATCTTCTCATCATTCAGAGAAACTCCACCTTAGACATCTTAAACAGTAATACTCTTCTTTCTGACCTTTGTTCCTGGTCATATTTCTCTTTCTCCCAATACATATGCTCTTTAACCTTGCAGAAACCTCTGGTCTCTTGACCGCCCCATTTTCTTTCTGAACCTGTTTTCTTCTCTATCTAACCTGGACTTCATGGCCAGTCATCTGAAGCTATTCAATCACCAACAACCTCCATTCTTTAGTGATCAGATATCCAACATTGAAACTGGATCAATGTTTAAATTCTGGTCCCAGGATCAAGCTGTTCAGGAAGACCACATAGCTGAACAGGCTGGTGCCACTAAAAATTCACTATCTCCAAGCGAGGCTTGGCTTCTACTTTGCCTCTGTCCCGGACCAACTGTGCACCGAGCCTTCCAGCAGCAGCATTACCCACTCTGGGAAACCTCAGAGTACATGGCACACCTGCGTGCCCACTGCTTCCTTCTGAGCAATACCTTACGTGAAGGTCAGTGGGCTTTGTACCATGCACTTCTGCCCTGGCGATAGCTGACTGGGCCAGAGTAGATGGTTGGCATAAAAGTGCCCACAGGAGCGGTCCTGGGAAGAGCTCTGCTTGTAGAATATGGTTCCATCTGATAGTTACTAACTGCTCTAGCCTGACCCCTGGCCATTCCCTGCTTCACGCTTTATACTGTAGCAACTCTAAGCCTACGCTTCTCTGCGCTCCCCATGCTTCTGGTACTATTCAATTCCCT